TAATAAAATTGATAATACCACTAGAAATATGGATAAAGAAACAAAAGGAGAGAGAGAAAGCATAAATAACCAATATTAGGAATGAGACGAGCTATCATTGTATATCATAAAACAGAACAGTTACAGTTGGATATGGTAAATAATTTTAAGTCAGTGTACTAAAAATTTAAATAAAATACATAGATTCCTAGGAAACATAACTTACCAAAAAGAACACAAGAAGACAAATTTCTGCACTGATCTATAACTATTAAGTAACTCAAACCCATCTCACAAAGTAAAGCCAAGACTCAGATGCCTTCACTGAGTAATTCTATCAAAATTTAAGAAAGAAATAATACCAATCTCGCATGACATTTTCCAGAGAACAGAAGAAAGTGGAGGTCTTTACAACTCTTTTTATAAAGTTAGAATAACCCTGTAACTAAAATATTATAAGGAACATATGAGAAAGGAAAATTTGGGGCTAATTTTAGACATTAATATAGATGCAAAATTTCTAACAAACTATTAGAAAATTGTAACCAGTGGTGTATTAAAAGGATAATATACCCTATTGTAGTTTGGTTTATGCCAACGTTGCAAAGTTGGTTTACATTTTGAAAGTGAATCAAGGTAACTCACCACAGAAACAAAGGAGAAAAATCATATAGTCAAATCAATAAATGCAAAAAAAAAAAACCCTAAAATTCAACATCCATTTATGAGAGAAAAAAATATTTTAGCAAACTAGGAATAAAAAGTAACTTCTGATAAAGGTTATTTACAAAACCATCTACAACATGCCACCCACAATATCCAACATTCAAAAAAATACTACATATATAACAAAATGGGTAAATAGTCATAGTAAGGAGGGAGGACAATAGTCAATAAAGGCAGACTCACAGATAACCCAGATATTGGTGTTTTCTGACCAGGACATTAAAACTGTTACTGTAAATATATTAGAGAACTTACAGGAGCAAATGAGTGAAATGAAGGAACAGATGGAAAACTTTAGAGGATAAACAGAATTTCTAAATAAGGACCAAGTGGAAATACTAGAACTGAAGAGTAAAGTGGAGGTAACATTTCCTAACTTATTTTGTGATCATTAAAAAGTCAAGAAACAACAGATGCTGGAGAGGATGTGGAGAAATAGGAACACTTTTACACTGTTGGTGGGAGTGTAAATTAGTTCAACCATTGTGGAAGACAGTTTGGCGATTCCTCAAGGATCCAGAACTAGAAATACCATTTGACCCAGCAATCCCATTACTGGGTATATAACCAAAAGATTATAAATCATTCTATGATAAAGACACATGAGCACTTATGTTTATTGCGGCACTATTCACAATAGCAAAGACTTGGAAACAACCCAAATGCCCATCAGTGTGAGACTGGATAAAGAAAATGTGGCACATATACACCATGGAATACTATGTAACCATAAAAAGGATGAGTTCATGTCCTTTGTAGGGGCGTGGATGAAGCTGGAAACCATCATTCTCAGCAAACTAACACAGGAACAGAAAACCAAACACCGCGTGTTCTCACTCGTAAGTGGGGGTTGAACAATGAGAACACATGGGCACAGGGAGGGGAACATCACCCACTGGGGCCTGTTGGGGGGTGGGGGCTAGGTGAGAGATAGCATTAGGAGAAATACCTAATGTAGGTGACAGGTTGATGGGTGCAGCACACCACCATGGCACGTGTGTACCTATGTAACAAACCTGCACGTTCTGCACATGTATCCCAGAACTTAAAATACAATTTAAAAAACCCAGCATAAATCAGATAAAATACCTGATAAAGATGTCACACACACACCTACACACACCAGACCATGTATTTCTCATGTATCTAGATGCAAAATACTGTAACAAAATTTCAGCATATTGAATCCAACAATGTATAAAAAGGATAATATATCACATAATCAAATGGGGTTTAGTTCAGAAATGCAAGGTTGTTTTGACATAGGAAGTCAATCAGAATTATTAACCACTTTACTAGAATAAAGCAACAAGCCATAAAATAATCTCAATAGATGTAGAAAGTACATTTACTAAAATTCAACTCATATTCCTGATAAATACTCTCAGAAAACTAGGAATTGAAGGAAACCTCCCCAACCAGAAAAAGGCCATTAATAACAGTAACAAAAAAAATCAAAAAACATGGCTAACAACATACTTAATCATGAAACTAGAATGTTTTCTCCTAAGATCAGGAACAAAGCAAGGTTGTCCATGCTCACTCCTCCTAACTAGTGAGTGCAATGCAGCAAAAAAATCCTGAGAAATTTCCAAAACACTTACTGGAAGTAATAATTGTTTTTAATAAGATTATAGCATTCCAGGTCAGAATATAAAGATCAGTTGCATTGTGTATACTGTTAGCAATTGCAAATTGAAATTTTAAAATGCTGCTTGTAATAGCACAATAAATCACTTAGGAATGAATTCAATGAAAGATGTGCAAGACCTCTATACTTGTTATTGTCAGACATCTTCATTTTTGCCGATCAAATGGTTATATCATATCTTACTGTGGCTAGATTACAATTCCCTAATCATTAATGATGTTGAACATCTCTTCATGAATTTATTGACCATATTGACCATATGTGTTTTCTCTTAGAAATGTCTGTTCATACTATTTGCTCACATATTGTTTGCTTTTCCCATTGATTTGTAGGATGTCCTTTTTTTTTTTTTTTTTCTGAGACAGAGTCTCACTCTGTCACCAGACTGGAGTGCAGTGGCACAATCTCAGCTCACTGCAAACTTCACCTCCTGGGTTCAAGTGATTCTCTTGCCTCAGCCTCCTGAGTAGCTGGGATTACAGGTGCCTGCCACCACACCCAGCTAATTTTTGTATTTTTTAGTAGAGATGGGGTTTCACCATGTTGGTCAGGCTGGTCTCGAACTCCTGACAATATGATCCACCCGCCTCGGCCTCCCAAAGTGCTGGGATTTCAGGCGTGAGCCACCATGCCCAGCCTGTAGGATGTCTTTAAATATTCTTGATATTAATACTTTGTCAGTTGTATGAATTTCAGATACCTGCTGCCAGTTTGCAAATTGCTTGATTAATAATCCCTTGTTAGGGCCGGGCGCGGTGGCTCAAGCCTGTAATCCCAGCACTTTGGGAGGCCGAGACGGGCGGATCACGAGGTCAGGAGATCGAGACCATCCTGGCTAACCCGGTGAAACCCCGTCTCTACTAAAAAATACAAAAAACTAGCCGGGCGTGGTGGCGGCGCCTGTAGTCCCAGCTACTCGGGAGGCTGAGGCAGGAGAATGGCGTGAACCCGGGAGGCGGAGCTTGCAGTGAGCTGAGATCCGGCCACTGCACTCCAGCCTGGGCGACAGAGCCAGACTCCGTCTCAAAAAAATAAAAAAATAAAAAATAAAGTACCTATTATAAACCTGCTTAGTAATATTTATTTTGTGAAATCATGAAGTGAGTGAATATATTTGATTAAGAGCAGATTTTGGGGAGATTATTCGATGTAGTGGGAGAAGACTATTTGATTAAGAATTGAACATTTGACTAGGAGTTGGAAATTTTTTTTCTTTCAAGATCCAGATAGCATGTGTTGTAGACTTCATAGACTACAAATGAGAAATTCTAGTCTGGTTTTCGTCTGGAGTCTTGGTCTTGTACTCATCTTTGTTTTTCTTTACAACTCCTTAAAAAATACAAAATCAATTTCAGTTTGTGGGTCACAGATTGCCAACCCCTGTTTTAGACAGTACCTATAGGTAGGAGGTTGGAAACAAGAGACAGTGAAGAAATAAATGTAACCCAGATATCAGCAGAGGACTTTCTGTGCTCTCCTCCTTGCCCTCAGCCACAAAATCTCAATAAAGTTGACTTTAGCCTTCCATTCTCTATCCTGTAATTACAGACTGCTCCCTAGTGATTAGTAAATTCTACTATATCTCTAGCTGTGGCTTTAGTGTATATGATTGCTTTCATCCCATATCAACATGAAGTTCAGTCCTTTCATCAGCTTACAACTCACATACCCACACATATGCATGTGCACACACACACACACACACAGGGACTCACTAGTTCACTCAAGAGAAGCATTTTGTGGATTTAGTTACATTACTGCATATTTGAGGGTGTAATTGAGAAGGTTCACATTGAGAACCACACAGCCTATCTGTAATCACATAGCTCTCTCAGTCTTCCACCACAGGACAAATTAATTCCTCTTAAGACCTTATGCAAATGGTGTTGTTTTATTAATTTTTCTAAAACTATGCTACTCAGCATCACCACCTCCAAGCAGGTTTATCCAGGCATTTTCTGAACAGATACAGTTTATTCCTAACAGCCATAATAATGATAATAATAGCAGCAATACATATGTAGGGCTTAGTATGGAACATATAATTCTAAGTATTTTAGTCCTCACAGGAAAGCCATGAGATAAATACTATTATCAACTTCATTTTACAAAGGAAGAAATAGAGTCACTGAGGGTTTAAGCAACTTGCCCACAGCGGAGAAGAAACTTTCACATAGTCAGAATAGGGGTGATTAATAGTATCACAAGCAGAGAGACCCAGAAGGATGAGACATGAAAAATAATCCTTTTACAATTATGGGTCAGTTGACAGGATGATGATGGATACATTCTGAGAAATGCCTCATTCAGCAATTTCATGGTTGTATGAACATCTTAGAGTGTAAACAAACCCAGATGTATATATATCTATATATATAGCCTGTTGCTCCTAGGCTACAAACCTGCATAGCATGTGACTGTACTGAATACTGTATGACATACAATAAGAGTGGCTAATGAGAAAATGTAAGTAATGGTTATAGATCACTTATGCTTAGCTTTTCACAATTTCTCCTTTGTTTAATCCTCTGTATTGAGATCATTAAATCTATCATTTTACATAATTATATCTGTAGTGTTATTCCTACAGCCTCATAAAAGTTGTTTTATATTACTACTAACTTGTTATTATCCAATCTTCTAGGATGTGGTACCACAGATTGTCCCACCTACAAAGCAGGCTTCAGGACTTGCTGAAGGGAGGAGTCATATATCCAGCCCTTTCACAGCCCAACTTCAAAAGCTTACTTCCTTTAGCTGTCCATTGGCACCATACAGTCTCCAAGTCTCTGACTTGTGCTTGGCAGCAACATGAAGATCATTTTGGTAAGAGATGTGTGAAGACAGATACTTTTTAAAACTTGTGGTAAGAAATATTTGCTTTGGCAGCACATATATCAAAAATTGGAATGATAAAATTGTGGTAAGAAAACACACAGTATAAAATTTATTCTCTTAACCATTTTAAGTGTACAATTCACATTGTTATGCAATGATAAATACCTTCTGTGTGGTCTGAAAATACTTTTTGTGGAGTTGACAGGACCTCTAGCCATTTATTTTTAAGATTAGCCTACAAGTTGGGAGAAAGACAAAAATAACAGAAGGCAATAGCAAAATCCCTTCTCAACTAGGGGAAGGCAACTCAGCCTGTTCCAGCCCCACTCCATCTCCCTGTCTTACCTAACGGAAAAAAAAAAAGAAAGAAAAGAAAGCCTTAATATACAAGGGAGCGGGTTTCAAAGACATAGACTAGGAATGTTACAACCACAGAAAGTATTAGTTGACAGGAGGGAATACTTTACCTATGTGTATGAGTCTCCTAAGGCTGCCACAACAAATTACACAAACTAGGTGGTTTAAAACAACAGTTTATTTTCTCATAGTCTTGGAGGGTTGGTAAGGCCATGCTCCCTCCAAAGGCTTTGGGAGAGAGTTTTTCCTTGCCTTTTCTAGTTTCTTATGGTTACTGGCAATCCTTGGTATTACTTTGCTTGTGCCAGCATTACTCCAATCTCTGCTTTCATATTCACAGGGCCTTCTTCACAATGCCTAATCTCTGTCTTCAAATATTTCTCTCTTTATAAAGATAGCAGTCATTGGATTTAGAGCCCACCCTAATCCAATGTGACCTCATTTTAACTTGATTACATCTGCAAAGACGCTTTCTAAATAAGGTCACGTTCACAGGTACCAGGGATTCGGACTTCAACATATCTTTTTGGGGGTTACAGTTCAATCTACCACACCCTGGAAGAGAAACAAAAACAATTGTGAAAGTCACACTTCCAAGACACAGGCCCACTATGCACTCCAGAGACTGAGAATCTGAAGATTGTAGAATGCCCTCATCCCCCCACACCCTACAACAAGCTAATAAGCCTCCAGTTAAAATGACAATGGATTACAGCTGGAAGAGCTGCAAGAGACAACCTGTCTCTGAGGTACAGCACAAAGGGAAGAGCCAAGGCCAAGAGAGAAGACAAAAGCAAAATCACTAGAGAAATTTAATGCTTCTGGTACCCACAGAGACAACAAACATCAAACACAACCTAACTCTGGGCCAGATTAATATAGATATTCATGGTAAAATCCTATTTACCTCAGTAGCTATTGCTCTATACACGATGTCTGGCTTTTAACAATAACAGAATTACAAAACTTGCTAAGGCAAGAAATAACACAATTTGAAGAGGCAAAGCAATATCAGAACTAGACTTACATATGACACAGGTGTTGAAATTATCAGTCAGAATTTTAGGACTTTTTTGTATTTCTGTGAAAAATGTAATTGAAATTTTGACAGGAGCTGCATTGAATCTGTAGATCACTTTGAATAGTATAGATATTTTGACAATATTAATTCTTCCAATCCATGAAGATAGAATATTTTTTCATTTATTTATGTGTTCTCCAATTTATTTAATCAATATTTTATAGTTTTGAGTGTAGAGATTATTAATCTCCTTGGTTAAATTTCTTCCTAAGTATTTTTTGCAACTATTATAAATAGGATTGTTTTCTTGATTTCTTTTTCAGTTAGTTCATTGTTAGGGTATAGAAGCATTACTGATTTTTGTATGTTGGTTTTACTGAATTCATTAAGTCTAACAGTTTTTTGGTGGTCTCTTTAGGGTTTTCTATATATAAGATTATTTCATCAGTGAACGGAGACAAATTCATCTCTTTCTTTCCTATTAGCATGTCTTTTATTTCTTTTCCTTGCCTAATTACTCTGGCTATGACTTTCAGTACTATGTAGAGTAAGAGTGGGAAGAGTAAGCATCATTGTCTTGTTCCTGATCTGAAAGGAAAAGTTTTCAACTTAAGACACCGAATGGCTAAAGCAATCTTAAGCAAAAAGAACAAAGCTGGAGGCATCATACTACGTGATTTCAAAATATATTACAAAGCAATAGTAATCAAAACAATATAGTACTGGCATAAAAATAGACACATTAACAAATTCATTATAAATAAACACACATACACATATTAAAATAAACAAGCAAGACCTCACACGTAGGCATATTATATTAAAACTGCAGAAAACCAAAGACAAAGAGACATTCTTGGAGGCAGCCTAGTGGGGAGAAAAACACCTTACCTACAGAGAAACAAAGATAAGAATTGCAGTGGACTTCTCATCAGGAACTGTGCAAGCCAGAACACAATGGAATGACAAACTTAAGTGATAAAGGGGGGAAAACTACCAATGTAGAATTATATATCCAGCAAAATGATCCTTCAAAAGTGAAAGATAAAGATTTTTTCATACATCAATACTATTTTGATTACTGTCGCTTTGTAAGACCTCCAATTTTGTTCTCATTTTTCAAGATTATTTTGACTATTCGGGGTCCCTTGAGATTCCCTATGACTTTTAGGAAGGTTTTTTTCTGTTTCTACAACAAATTCCATTGGAGTTTTGATAGGTATTGCATTTAATCTGTAGATCACATTGGGTAGTATGGGCATTTTAACAACACTAAGCCTTCCAATCCATGAGCATGAGATGCCTTTCCATTTATTTGTACCTTTCTTTGATTTCTCTTAGCAACATTTTGTAGTTTTCACTGTAAAAGTGTTTCTCTAACTTGGTTAAGTTTATTCCTAAGTATTTCATCCTTTTTGATGCCATATGCAGAAAGCTGAAACTGGATCCCTTCCTTACACCTTATACAAAAATTAACTCAAGATAGATTAAAGACTTAAACATAAGACCTAAAACCATAAAAACCCTAGAAGAAAACCTAGGCAATACCATTCAGGACATAGGCATGGGCAAACACTTCATGACTAAAACACCAAAAGCAATGGCAACAAAAGCCAAAATAGAGAAACGGGATCTGATTAAACGAAATAGCTTCTCCACAGCAAAAGAAACTACCATCAGAGTGAATAGGCAACCTACAGAATGGGAGAAAAGTTTTGCAATCTATCCATCTGACAAAGGGCTAATATTCAGAATCTACAAAGAACTTAAATTTACATGAAAACAAAACAACCCCATCAAAAAGTGGGCAAAGGATATGAACAGACACTTCTCAAAGACATTTATGCAGGCAACAAACATATGAAAAAAGCTCATCGTCACTGGTCATCAGAGAAACGCAAATCAAAATCATCTCATACCAATTAGAATGTCAATCATTAAGAAGTCAGGAAACAACAGATGCTGGAGAGGATGTGGAGAAATAGTAACGCTTTTACACTGTTGGTGGGAGTGTAAATTAGTTCAACCATTATGGAAGACAGTGTGGCGATTCCTCAAGGATCTAAAACTAGAAATACCATTTGACCCAGCAATCCCATTACTGGGTATATACCCAGAGGATTATAAATCATTCTATGATAAAGACACATGCACACTTATGTTTATTGCAGCACTGTTCACAATTGCAAAGACTTGGAAACAACCCAAATGCCAATCAATAATAGACTGGATAAAGAAAATGTGGCACATATACACCATGGAATACTATGCAGCCATAAAAAAGGATGAGTTCATGTCCTTTGCAGGGACATGGATGATGCTGGAGACCATCATTCTCAGCAAACTAACACAAGAATAGAAAACCAAACACCGCATGTTCTCACTTATAAGTGGGAGTTGAACAATGAGGACACATGAACACAAGGAGGGGAATATCACACACCAGGGCCTGTCGGGGAGTGGAGTCTAGGGGAGGGATAGCATTAGGAGAAATACCTAATGTAGATGACAGGTTGATGGGTGCAGCAAACCACCATGGCACATGTATACCTATGTAACAAACCTGCATATTCTATACATGTATCCCAGAACTTAAAGTATAATAAAAAATAAAATAAAATAAATAAATGGAATTTTTTTCTTAAATTTTCTTCTTAGATTGGTCACCATTAATATGTAGAAATGCAATGGATTTTATGTATTGCTTTTGGAAATCCTGCAAATTTTCTGACATCATTTATTAGTTATAATACTTTTTATTGCATATGGAATCTTTAGGGTTTTCTACATATAAGATCATGTCATCTGTGAATAGAAACAATTTTACTTCATCTTTTCCAGTTTAGATTTCTGTTACTTCTCTTTCTTGTCTAATTTTTCTAGCTAGGAATCCCAGTACTTCAACAATAGTAATATTGAGGGTGGGCATCCTTTCCTTATAGTGTGCATCCATTAACATAGATCTATAATTATTTGTTACTTTTGTGTTTAAAATTTATACCATATTTAAAAGTGATTTACACACTTATATTACAATACTACACAATAAACCTTTACCAGAAGGTTTATATTTTCATATGATTTTGTGTTGCTATTTATCATCCTTTTTCTTCAAGTTGAAGGATCCCTTCAGCATTTCTTGTGGGGCAGATTGAGTGGCGATCAACTTCCTCTCCTTTTGTTTATCTGGGAAGTCTTAATCTCTCCTTCATTTTAGAAGGACAGTTTTATAAAATATAATGTTCTTCGTGGGCAGGTTTTGTTCTTCAGTAATTGAATATATTATTTCACTCCTTTCTAGCCTGCAAGGTTTTGCTAAGAAACCAGCTGATAGTTTAATAGAAGCTCCCTTGTATGTGATGAGTCATTTTTTCCTGCCACTTTCAAGATTCTGTCTGTGTGACTTTTGACAGTTTGATTTTGATGGGTCTCAGTGTAGGTCTCTTTAGATTTATTCCAACTGGAGTTGTTTATTGAATTTGTGTGTCCTTTTCTCTCATCAAATTTGGAGAGTTTTCAGCCATCATTTCTTCAAATAAGCTCTCTACTCATTTCTCTTTTCTCCTTTTGTGATTTCCATCATGCATATGTTGTTCTGCTTGTTGGTGCC